ATGCTTAGTGAGATTTTAATGCAATATACTCATTGGAACAGAACCAAATGCAGTAACTATCTTACATGTGCATTTTTATGGATTGTCTTATAACTGCTTTATTGTATGGACTTGTCCATTACATTCATACAAAGTCCCAGGAGTGCACTCTATGGATCTGCGTGCAGTTTTTTAATTTGAAGTTTTCATTTTAAGATCTCCTGTATCAAATACAAAATGTCCCATCTCACATTGAAAATATTTTCTGTTTGAGTTAAAAACATTTCAAAAATGATCCAAGCAGCTATACTCAAAAAGGGACAATTTAAATTCAAAAATTCAAAAACATTTGAATATGAAACATTTTGCACATCCTTAATAAACTGTATAATTAGAACAATATAGACCAGTGATTCTCAACCTTTCTAATGCCGTGACCCCATAATACAGTTCCCCATGTTGTGGTGACCCCCAAGTGGGTGTGGCCACCAATAAGAGGGAGTAGGACAGCTAGGGAAAAGGGAAAAAAATGGCGGACAGCATGGTTTGGCGACCCCCATGAAATGGTCATTCGACCCCAAATGGGGTCCCGACCCACAGGTTGAGAACCACTGATATAGACTGTATAATTAGAACAATATAGACCAAAAGTTAAGGCTTTTAAAAAGTAATTATCATGTTCTTAAAAAGTAATTATATGTTCTTATTGTTTGGCATTTCGTTTTGCTTTCAAATGTGCCAAGAATTGCATTTTTTGCACAGCACTGAAAAGAGGCTATTAGTGAAAGGACTAATCAGGCTCAAAACAGACCCTATGCAATTATTACAAAGTTCCTTTCTTTGCAAATTATTAAATAGCATGTGTTCAATACCCCTTCCTCAAACAATTTCTCATTCAGTATTTTCTATTTCTCATTGTGTATCTTTCAATCAAATAGTATTTAAAGGGAATGGTCCTTTTGTAAATCAGCAAACAAAACACAGCTTACAAGTTAAAGTTACAATACAAAACAGTGTTAACAGTGAGAGAGAATGAAAAAGGACAGAAACAAAGTGGAGGACTTCAGTTATAATGCACATTGATAAATCTTGCTCTAAATCTGAAGTCTATACTAGAGTTTTATTATATAGATTTTCTAATGCAAATTCAGATGATCTCATCTTTTTATTTAAGGAAAAATAGATAGCTGATGTGAAATCACTTTTTTCAGAATGTGATGTACTCCCACCTCATCAACCAACGGACTGTGCTATAAAGAGAATCCCAGAGGCTAAGTTTTCTAAACCGAAGATGTATACAATGGACTGGTTGCTGAATACATTAGAGAACTTCGTAGCCTGGTGGCTTGTGTAAAAAGGTGGTCTGAACACATGTTACCACTTCCAAGACAGATTAAATGAAGAACTGTATTACAATTGTCTACCCAGAGGGGTGCCCAATCTTCTCAGAGACTGGTACCAGTTGGCTACCAACATGGAATTAGATTTGATAATTATTGACATCACACTAGTTAAGATAACTGACCTCATGCAGCTAAGAGGCACTCGGCTGGCCGAGGAGTAAGGGAAGTGTTCCAGGGACTAGAAGGGAGAGACCCCCTCTAGCTAAGTGACTGATGAAGGGATTTTATTGTGCTTATGATTTTAGTATGTTTAAGTTTGATATTAGCATTTATTTTATATATAGTAACCATTTTATATTGATACTTATAGTGTTATCATGTAATCATTGTTTTGTTATTTTGTAATCATTATTTTGTAGTTAATTGCTTGATCAGATGCTATATATATATATATATATACACACACACATATAATATATAATATATATATATACATATACACACACAAACCGCTATCTGCACGCTCTCACACCACCACCCAGCACAGATCAACTCTGTAGCCAAGACACTCATCTCCAGAACAAAACGCTTAGCTGACGAACAACACCTAAAATCCGAACTACACACTCTCACCAATATACTAACATCCAATGGATTCCATAGAAATAAGATTACAAACCTAATCCAAAAAGAAACCCCCACTAAAATCCAAGACAAAGAACAAGAAAACGGCAAAGCCTCCTCCCATACATAAAAGGCACCACAGACAGAATCAGTAAGATCCTCCATAAACACAACATCAAAACAGCATTCTGCACAAACAGAAAAATATCTACCATCCTTAGAAACCCCAAAGATAAAATTGAATTAGAAAATCAAGGAGTATACGAAATCCCATGCACCACTTGTCCCACCACATACATCGGACAAACCAACAGAAGAATAAGTGCACGCATTGAAGAACATAAGAACTCAGTCAAAAAAGAGGAACCAACATCTTCCCTGGTCCAACACCTTAAAGCCACAGGACATGAAATTGACTTTAAAAATACCAGAACCATTGCCAAAAGTGAACATTTTAATAACAGAATAATCAGAGAAGCCATCGAGATAGAAAAACGCCCACACAGCATGAACAAGCGAGATGATACCTCCCGCCTACCAGCCATTTGGAAACCCGCCCTTATTGACAAACGACTCCATAACCCCAAAATCTTAAACCCCTCTGCAACTCAGACTAACCTGAGCACAACCAAACAGAACACTCCCCCAGCCAATCAGAGCACAGCCAAGCCCCTAACCATTCAGAACACACCTCCACCCAATCAGAACACAGCCAAGCTCCCACCCAATCAGTTCATACCCCCACTGGCAGTTAAAAGGAAGAAACAGCTAAGACCACACATTGCTGCTCAAAGCAAGAAGCTGAAAACACCAGCCTGAAGATGACGAATGTGACTTCGTCGAAACGTCGCCAAGACACTTCCAAGTTTACGCGGGAGAAAACCCGAACAACCAAAGACCTATATACATATATATACATATATACATACATACATATACATATATAAACATATATACATACATATACATATACATATATATATTGTAAAAGTAAAGGCTTCATGCTTTAGGTATAGGTGATTGCTTATATGAAAAGAGCACAGTAAGGGGAGGGGGAAAAGGAGTTACGGATGGAGCCTGGGTTGCTGTGTATGAGTCATCATCTAAGAATTGTTTTTTTGTGCCATCTTATGCCTAGTACCAAGACCTGATCTCTTTGTTCTGAAAAGGTATAAAAGGTGGAAGACATCTTTTCTGGTTGTTGCCTTCATCTCTCTACCAGCCACGAAGAGAGATGGGGTCACCCAACTCTATTTTGATCAAAGTAAAAGTTGTTTGCTTGCTGAAACCTCGGCTCAGGAGTTTCTTTGGCTCTTTTAAATTCCTGAGTAATGCTGGGGCAATTGTGAGGCTAACTGGAAAACCTTACATCCTGGCGCCTAAACGTGGTGGAAACCACAATGGCTCTCCCCTCACATCTGGAGACCCCTGTAAAGGTCCCAGCGAGCCTTCAATTCTCAGCAGGACGAAATCAGCGGCAACTGAATTGTGAGTCTTAGAGCGCTCCCAGGTGTTTGACCTGGAAGATTCTATGCTTCAACGTCAATGGTGAGGTCCATGTCTGATGAACCTGAACGCCCAAATTCAATGAGGTTTCATGCTTCTCTGCTGACGGGAGAAATTGCAACAGGCGCCTTGGTAAGTAAAAGAAATACAAAAAGCTTTGGAAATCCTGGAATAAGGCAGGAGGTTGATCTCTCTATCCTCTATAGATAAGCATAAAAATAAATGAATAAATGTAAGAAAAGAGGAAGCCAAGAAACTGTCTTCTAATACAGGATAGAGTGAGTTAAGAGAAATAATTGAATTGGTATGTAATTTTTTTTTTTGCAGAGGTTTTGGTAATTTTGGAATAAGATAGGCAGCTGATCTCCCCGACTAGTCCTCCAAAGGAAAAATTAATTACAAAATTCCAAATTAATTAAGTGAAAAGGGAGGAAGCCGAGAAACTATCTTGAAAAAAAAAAGAAAAAAAAGAGAATCGTCAGAGTAATTTAAACAAACAAATTAACTCAAAATGTAATCCTCTGCAATGTGTTTTGAAAAATTGGGATTTTTCAAGTGGCTGTTAAGTTTAACTCTGTCAGACAACGTCTAGTAGTGCTTTGTGTTGATGTGTGGCCAACTTATTTTATGGGCCTTGGGCAACAACCTTGGCTAAGAGAAGGGTCTGTGGACTTGGATATTATTAATAAGCTTACAGATATTCTTGCTATACAAGGGCGGATGGATGAAGAATTATATGCAGGGTTTTTCTTAAATTTGAGCATCCAACAGGACATTTTAAAACAATGTGGCCTGTTAGTCCCTCCAAAGGTTTTGAATTTGGTCTGTCCAGTCTGCCCAGAAATAAATAAGCTTCAAAAGAAAGCAATTCAAACTTGTCCTGAACTTGAAGATTACCCACCACCTTATGTGATCCCGACTGCTCCTGGTGCTGCCTCTAAAGCTCCACCCCTGAGCTCAGCTGCTTCTTCCCCCACAGCCCCCTCTGTCTCTTCTCCGACCTTGCATTCAGCTGCTGCTTCCCCCGCAGCCCCCCTTCTCTCTGTCTCTGAAGATGAAGATCCTGATGAGGGATCGTCCTCTGCTGCATGGGCAATTGTGAGGCTAAGTGGAAAACCTTACACTGATGTCACTACAAATTAACTATTAATTGGTTGATTGAATTTAAAAGATGATCTCTGCCAAGGACTTGACAGTTCATAATCAGTTCATCTCCTTGAAGATCAAATAAAAATTAGTTGATCTAAATGTAAATGTACAACCTATTTGGGTCTCCTTAAGAAAAAATGCTTAGTAAAAATGTGTAAAATAAGGAAAACTAGAGTTCTTTCACCTAAAATCTTCACAACATGTTGTTTCTGCATTTTTGAGTAGATATCATAAAGAACTATCTGTACAATGTTCTGAAAGACAAATGCCTTGCAACTTTTTAAATAGTGATGCTAGTTTAAATGATTAGAAAAATGAAACTCATGACTATCAGCATAAATATAAATAAGCGGTGCAAAAAAGAGTCACTTGCTTAGCTAAGCAATCAAAAATTTTTACCAGATTTTTCCGATTTATCTTTCTGTTTTTTTAGTTCTTTACTCTGCAAAACCATCTGCTTGATATGAATATGCAACTGGGCAATTTCTTCCTCCTTCAATTCCAGAGTTTCATGCATTTGCCGTTTTGTTTCTGCTATAACCATGCCCTATAAAACAGGTGAATGCAGGCAAAAGATGTAGTCTGTGAGAATATGTAAATATAAAACAAGCTCAAAAGCAGAATACAATTACTATTTTGCTTCTTAAATCACCCACTTTTGTGGTTGCATCAAAATGAAGTGCTGAGAAAAAATTTAGCATTTATTACACAAATAAAATCTAAAGAAACAAAAAGCCAAGGAGAGGAGGAAACTATCTAAAACAGTGGTTCTCAACCTTTTTAATGCCGTGACCCCCAACTGGTCATAAGTCGAGGACTAAACCAGTCGTAAGTCGAGGACTAAACTGGTCATAAGTAGAGGACTAAACCAGTCATAAGTTGAGGACTTTCCCTGCCCGGGAGCGCCACGCATGCGTGGTGCTGCCCCCTGCGCCAGCCGAGGCGTAGCTGTCAAGTGGCAGAGACGGAGCAGGCCAACCACCAGCTGGGCCACCAGCTGGCCCAGACCAAGGGAAGTACGGCACCCACCGGAAAAAGGGAAAAAATGGCAGACAGCCTTGCTTGGCGACCCCGTGAAATGGTCGATCAACCCGAAATGGGGTCGCAACCATAGATTGAGAACCGTTGATCTAGAAGGTACTGAAAGAAATATGAACAAACATTGCTAAGTCTATGCTTATCCAAAAGAGATCAGAAAGAATGAAAAAGAGAAATGTTTCAATAATAGCTATGATAACTTTTCATTTTTATTATTAGAATTGACATCACTAAAAAATCATGGCACTTCAAAAATTGTATATTGCTTACTTTATCTTGCTCTAACTGTTCTATCAAGTTTTTGCTTTCACGTAGCTGAGTAATGAATTTGGTCTTTTCAGCCATATGACAATCCTAAGAAACCGAAACAAAATAAACTTTAGAACACTCAAAACAAGTAATTTTCTCACATTCTTCTATATGGCTATTTTTTTTAAAATATAGAGCCCACTTCTTCCTTAAAATATATGTTCTAAGTGCTTCAGAATTTCCTCTAGCATATAAGATTAGGATGAACTTTCCAACTTACATAATAAATATTGATTAACAGTCACTGAAATATACCACATTAAATGTTCAATAAAAAAGTAGATGCATGGAATAAGAAAGTAGATGCATGGCATGTGATCGGTGAAAAAAATTACTATATTTTATAATTTAATGGATTTAAAATTATAATTAACCCAAGAAAAATACCATTTAACATGAACTGCATACCTATATCTCTTTTAGCATATGATGGATGAAAAAATAAATTTGTACCTTCGACTAAACCCAAGTCATATAGCAACACTGATTCATATGACATAGTAATATCATCATGTATTATAGGCTCTCTTGTACAGAGGGTTTTTTCAGTATTTTAACTTTGTACTGAAAGACATTTTTTCAAATACTGATGTTCCTTTGAATTATATATTGATAATTTAAAACAAAGCAACAACAGAAATAGAAACTGAATGTAAACAAACCCTATACTCACTAGCACTAATGCTGCTGCCTAGTTGAAATATCTGCAAGAAAAACACCACACTCAGAGAAGGGGCGTTGTCTTACCTGAACGCCTTTTCTCAGCACGGAGATAGAGAATCCACCAATAGGTTGAGACTGTATTCCTGCCCAATCAGATCAGTCAGCCAAAGTTGCCACACCCGTCCTGGACCATGAGATCCCAGTCTTGACATGAGCGAAGCCATTGACTGACAGCAAGACGTTGTGGCTCACCATTAACTTAACCTGGACCTATATGACCTATGAGGGTGGGAGTGGATTCTCCATCTCCGTGCTTAGAAAAGGCACTGGAGATGGAGAATCCACCAATGGGACATACCAAAGCCTACTGTCCCTGAGGGTGGGAAATAGACTGGTCCCGTGTGTTACTTTGGTGTACGACCTGCTGGAGGACCCTCCTACCAAAGAAGGCCTCTGCAGAGGAGAATCTATCAATTTTATAGTGACAGATGAAAGATGTAAACGCTCTGCAAACTTCCTCAGTGGAGGCTTGAGCGGCCCATGCCGCGGAGGTGGCTGCATTTCGTGTGGAGTGTGCTGTAACCCGTCTGGGGATCGGTAACACCTCTGCCTGATAAGCCCCGGCGATGCATGCTCTGATCCATCTACCAATTGTGGAGGATGAAGCCTTCCGACCCCTGGAGGAGGAGTGGAAGGAAACGAAAAGAGCTTCTGAACTGCGGAATTCTGCTGTTCGTGATGTATAATACCTAAGAGCTCTACGGACATCTAATGTATGCCATTGACGCTCCCGGTCATGCGCTGGATTCGGGCAGAAGTCCGGTAGCACTATCTCCTGTGACCTGTGGAATAGGGAATTTACCTTTGGGATGAAAGTGGGGTCTAGTCGCAGGACTACTCGATCCCTGTGGAAAAAACACAGGTCCTTCCGTATCGAGAGTGCCACTAATTCAGAGATATGTCGGGCCGACATGATTGCCACCAAGAAGGCTACCTTATGGGACAGGAAGTGGACATTGCATTCTTTCAGTGGTTCAAATGGTGCCTTGGTGAGCACCCGTAGGACCCGAGGTAGGTCCCACAACGGGTACCTGTGTACGGTAGGAGGCCTAATATTCGTGGCCCCTTTAAGAAAGGAACGGAGTAACGGATGATGGCTCAGTGACTCTCCTGAGTTACAGGAAAGAACCGTGGAGAGGGCAGCGATCTCCCTACGTAGTGTGTTTGGGGCCAAACCCCTCTCCAGGCCGTCTAACGGGTAGTCTAAGATGTTGGGAACCATTAGTTCCCCGTCGGACAGGTTCCGGCCGGAACACCAAGATTGAAAGTTTTTCCACATGGTCTTGTATATGTGATTCGTGGAAGGGCAGCGAGAAGCCTGAATTACTCTGATGACCCCTTGCAAACATAGTTCTCTCATTAAAATCGAGCGCTCAAGTGCCAGACAGCTAATTTTAACCACTGGAGTTCTGGATGGAGAATCACCCCGACTGAGTGAGACCCGGTCCGGGGGGATCCGCCAAGGATCTGTGAGAGGCTCCTCAGGTCGGCGAACCAAGTCTCCTTGGCCAATACAGTGCCACCAGGAGTATTTCAGCTCGCTCCTGGAGGAGTTTGCATATTACCGCCGGGAGGAGAGGCAATGGGGGAAACGTGTAAAGCAGACCCTATGGCCACGCACTCCAGAGTGCATCTGCTTGTTCTGTTCCCGCGGATGGGAACCTGGAAAAGCAGCAGGTCAACTGGGCATTGGCCGGTGATGCGAAAAGGTCTATTAGCGGACGGCCGAAGCGGTGACAGATTTCTTTGAAGACCCTCGGATGGAGGCACCATTCCGAGTAATCCACTGTTGCCCTGCTCAGTAAGTTGGCCTGAGTGTTTGCTTCCCCTGATATATGATCGGCTCTGATAGAGGCAAGGTTTTGTTCTGCCCAGGATCCCAGCAGTAGGGACTCGTACCATAGGGAGCGGGATCGGATGCCCCCTTGGAGATTTATGTGAGCTTTGGCGGCCACATTGTCCATTAGGACTAATATGTGCCTCCGTGCTAACAAGCTGTGGAAGTGTCGTAGGGCTAGGTGGATGGCTTGTAGCTTGAACCAGTTTATGTTGTGTCGAAGGTCCGATGTGGACCAACGGCCCTGTGTCCACTGTGTCCGAGGGTGTGCTCCCCAACTGAACAGACTTGCATCGGCCGTGAGGACTAACCTGTTCAGCTCCCTGAAGTCTGATCCTCTGAGCATGGCTGGGGAGATTTACCACGCGAGGGAGCATCGTACCCGTTGTGACAGTCTTACTCTTTGCTGTGAGGCACTGAGGTTCTGCCTCTGGAAGGGGAGCATGAACCATTGCAGTTCCCGGGAGTGAAGTCTGGCCCATGGAACAATTGCTATGGTCGATATCATCTTGCCCAACACTGGGAAAGACTGGCCAATGTTACTGACTGGTATCGGCATAATTGGAGCACTAGCTCTCTTATGCTGTGCCGGCGTTCTTGGGATAGGTATACCCGGCACTCCACTGTGTCTATGATGGCCCCCAGGTGCAACAGTCTTGTTGCAGGTACCAAATGGCTCTTGGGGAAGTTCACTGAGAACCCATGGTCCTGGAGCAGCTTTATCACCAGTTCTAGGTCCGACATGGCGGACCGGGTGGACGACAACTGGATTAATATGTCGTCCAGATAGCATTGGACCCTGACTGGTATCACCCTTAAGTGAGCTGCCAGGACTGCCAGGATTTTTGTGAACACCCTGGGGGCTGAAGACAGACCAAACGGTAGCGCCCTGTATTGGAAGTGACGTCCCCTGTATGTGAACCGTAGGAACCGGCAGGGGCCAGAGAGATAGGGATATGAAGATACGCCTCGGTGAGGTCGATAGATGTCAAAAGATCCCCCTTTCTTATGCTTCCCAATATGGAGCGGAGCGTTTGCATTTTGAATTTGCAGTATGCCAGATGGAAGTTCAGGCCCTTGAGATCTAGAATGGCTCTCCATCCTCCCAACACCTTGGAGACGATGAAGAGTATGGAGTAAAATCCCTGTCCTCTCTGGTCCAGTGGTACGGTTCTATGGTCCGTATACTTAGGAGATGTTGAACGGCTTCTTCATGAGTTTTTTCTTTGTTCGGTTCCGAGGGTAGGGACAGGAGAGGAACCGATTTGGGGGTTTGGAACGGAATTCTAGGGTAGGCCATAACGTACGGTATTGATCACCCATGCATCCGTGGTGGTGGCTTTCCACTGGTGAGCAAACAGGGAAAGTCTGCCCCGTATGGGAAGTGCTGATGGGGAGTCATCTGGATCGGCAGAAAGGCTGGCCGCTCCCTCGAAAGGGCCGCCTGCCCTGCGCTTGTTGTCTGGGCCTGGGAGTTTGTCTATCTGCCTGTCTTTCCTGCCTATCTTGTCTGGTCTGGAAGGGTTGTGATGGCTGAGAATAGCCAAACCTAGCCTCTGCGTGAAAAAACTGCTTCCCTGAGTAGTGATTTAGGCGTTTGTCTTGTCTTTTAAGGACATGTTTGAAGACCTTGCACTTGTCCTTGTTTTCTGTTAGATAAGGATTTAGCGCCTCCCAAAATAGTTTGCCTCCCTGGTATGGGGCGTTAGTCAGCTTCCATGTGGATTTTGCATTGGCTTGCCAGTGTTTCAACCAGAGCATGCGCCGGCCGGTAATGGTAGAAGCTATGGCTCTTGCCGAAAATCTGGCTGCCTGGAGCGATGCGTCTGCCACGTACTCCATGGCCACCACCATCTTACTGAGGTCCTGGTGTATGCGGACATCCTTCACTGGTATCTGGTTCTGTAACTGTCTGAGCCAGCTGAGTGTGGCTCTGCTAAAGAAGAAGGCAGATGTTGAGGCCCTGATTGCCCATGCGGTTGTCTGGTACATTCTGTGGTAGGTGGACTCGCATTTTCGGTCCTCGGCCTTGAGGGCCTCCGAAAAATCCCCAAATATAGCGGTGGATGACACTAGGGGCCCTAAGGGCTCGTCCACCGTCGACACTTGCAACGCCTAGTCCAGCTCTTTGGCCACATTGTACAACCTTTTGTCGGTGTTACCTGGGAGAGGAAGGGAAGCTGGGGAGGCCCATTGCTTCCGGATCGCGTTCATGAACAACAAGGGACATGGGATGCGGTGTTGGGTCGTTACCAGTTCGACGAAGTTAGGGTCCGCTTCCGCATCAGGGAGAGCAGGAGCCATTTCTGTTGAAGTTCCCGAACCGAGATGCACAGTGGAGGTGGCCTTGCATAGTAAGGTGACAAAAAAGGAGGGGCTAAATAGCCCGCTGAATGAAGGGACTTCGAGTGGAATGTCCTCGTCCCAGACATTTGGACCTCCTGCTCTATAGTGGCCTGGTCGAGATAAGAATCCTCGGAAACATATGACTCCGACAGGGAAGAGGGGTGTTGATTGGTCTCCGTCTCCTGATGTTGACCGGGACGAGACATGGTTATTCCCAACTTGTGGACCTGCATCCCAGCCTCGAGGGCCCGGTCTACCGCCTGTGCGATCAGTATGGCTAAGCGGTCTCCGATGGTAAGGAGGCCATCTCGTAAGGACGTAGCCCTGCTGCCGTGGGAGTGAATGTGGCCTCGGGAGCCCCCTGAGACACCCGGGGAGAAGAGGATTGGGAAAGGGAAGAGAACTCGCCTGTCCCGCATCGCGCCGGGGACTGAGAGGATTCCCCCGTTGACCAATTCCCAAAGGGGATGTTGGGGGCCCCAAAGGTAATTCGGGAGCTATGCCTCCAGCCTGAGTCCTCTTCAGTCTGGCCCTCTTCTGTGCTCTGGAAAATTCCTTTTCTAGGGCCTGGTGTCTCCTGCTTGCCTGTTTGTCCGTTTTCTTGGAGGATTTCTTGGTAGACCTGGCCTTAGTGGCCGCCGCCTTATCAATGCCTTCCGGATCAGGTAGACCTGATGGGGATGGCAAGGCTCCTGTTGAGGAAAGGATAGCTTCCTCCATTCTCCAATAGGGCAGGGACACGGTAGGGGGGGGGGCTGGTATCTGGAGAGTATAACACTCTGGGTAAGGACAGATGTACTACAGGGGACGCCTGGAAACCAGGTACAGCCTCCATGTGGATAGGGATAGGCGCACTGTTGGGGGGGGGCCGCTTGATCCCACAATGGCTGTGCACGGATAAGGACAGACACACTACTGGGGGTGACTGGAATCCGGCCTAGTAGCTGTGGATAAGGACATACGATTGGGGGAGCCTGGAATCCACGCAGTTGATAACCGGATAAGGACAGACACAGTATGGGGGATGCCTGGAATCCAGCTGGAGCCAATATCTAAGTGTTAATGGGATAGGAGCTAAGAGACACCAGGGCCTGGAAAAGGAATGGAACACCAGAGAGTTGGCTATGTTGTCAGTTACTCGCTATTGAAAGGATCTAGGGTGGTCTATGGTCCTTCACTAAGTGTAGGCCTTAGGTGGGGCCGCTTCCCCCCGTTGGAGTAGGAGGCCTGAGCCTGTTTTAACTTTTTTTTATTTTAATTTGATTTTAATTTAGAACTGTTGGCTGGGCACTGCCCCCCCCCGCTGGGGTCCTGGTCCCAGTGTTCGGGCTCTGTGGTGGGTGGGGAGCGGCTCCCTCGTCGGCCTGTAGGCCTATGTAGGCCATGCGGTGAAGAAAAAATGTTTCACGCGTGCGCAAAATGGCCCCGCGCATGTGTGGTGCTCTCTTGGTCGAGCCTGCACTCTTTGGCCTATTCAGGCCATGTGTGTTGAACAAAGGGAGGCCGCACACGCGCCGCTTCAAAAAATGGCAACCCGCGTGGAGAGAGAGACTCTCCCTGAGCCTTAGGAGCTTGTAGCTTGAGGGAAGAAGAAAACGGAGTGGTCCCGGTTTCTGGCCTCCCCGCAGCCGCCCCTCAGCTGATGCGCAGCCCCTGCATGGTCCCTGCCCCCTTCTGATCGCTTTTGTGGGTCCGGACAGCCCACAAGTGACCGCTGCATAAGTTGAAAGCAGAAAGAAAACTTTCTCAGAGGCTGAATACCTCAGCGGAGCTGCAGCCGCAAGCTCTGCTCCCCGAACGCTTCATCAGCTGGCTTGGCTAACGACCGTTAGTCCGGGCCATTTGGAGTTCGGTTTAATCTCCCCGTTTGGAAGATGATGAGGGGGGAAGGGTGGGGGGGGGAAGGGAAGGAAGGGAGAAAGGAACCCTTCCTTAACAAAGACGTGATGCCCTCTTAACAATGGGGAGAGAATTTCTCTAAAATTTTGAATTGATCTAATTTTAATCTGATTAATTTGATTTAATCTAATTTAATTTAAATCAAGGAGTTAATTTGCCTAATTATTTTTGAAGAATCCACCAATGGAGATTGTACTTGCCTAGAGCCAAGTTGCAACGTCTGTCCAATGGGCAAGATCAGTCAAGACTGGGATCTCGTGGTCCAGGACAGGCAACTTTGGTTGACTGATCTGATTAGGCAGGAATACAGTCTCAACCCATTGGTGGATTCTCCATCTCCAGTGCTGGAGAACACCTAAGAACTCCACAGCTCAACTCTGACCTACAAATATTCTCTTCTATTGGATGTTCTATTTTTGTTTAATTTTATCTGTATGCTATCTAGAGTCCTTTTGGAATCAGACAGTCTTGAAACTGAAATAATAAATAAGATAAATAAAATATGTCCAAACTTTTTGTATTCTTTTCCCCTTTATACATACATATGCATATAACATAAATAATAAACCAATTAAAATAGACTCTGTAAATGCCTTGGTAGGATTTCTTTATCCTAATTTTTTAAAAAACAGCATTACTAAAATCTACATATATGCTTACTCTGGATATTAACATCTAGTTTCCTTATAGACATTATCAAGTATGACAGAATTTCTATCTTTTAGCATATTGTATTTTTGTTATTATTTAGAATTTGTTTTGTCTTGATGTTTAATCAAAATGGATTATAATCTCTAACATCTTTTGCTATATAAACTATGTAATTAGTGGTAAAAATTAATATCATGAGAAGCCTTTATTTTTCCAGTACCTTTATTTTCTCTAGCTCCTGAAGCCTCTCATATAGTTGTTCCTGCAGCACTTCTTTCTCACTGGTCAGCTGTGCTAAGCGCTCCTTCTGAGATTTAATTCTTTCTTTACACTGATGAAGCAAGTTTTCTTGATGTTTTACTCGCTGAGTTAGAGATTCTATTGTTTTATCAGCATTCTCATTACCAACTATGAACAGCAAAAAAATTATGCTCGGTTTTCATTTGACATTTCACAGGTACCGTAATCTGGAAGTCTGCACAGTGCTGCCACTGCTACTCTATATGGGAACTCTTCAAATAGTTCTTGCTACTTATGAATTTAACATTGTCCTTCTATTCAACTTCTGTTCCATATTTAAAGTTGCTTGGCTCCAATACAGTTGCTCAACCAGTTAAATATTTTTTGATTTCAATCTTCAGAATGATAGGGCAAATCTCATTTCCAGGAACTCTTTCACAGCCCTGTTGGATTCTCACATACTTCCAAACATCACTTACAAAGTTTTAATTCATTACCATTAATCTGACAGAGGGAAGGTTTAACAATATCCTATATTCAGAATAATCTTGTATTTAATCAGGATTCACTAGAGTCAGCTTTAAGATAAATGGTGTTATCTGCTTTTTATGACAATGCTGGCTGAACAGAAATTGAAATTATTCATACCTTACTTTCATATTTTCTATTGAAAATTTCCAATGTTTCCAAACTCTGCTTGATCACTACTGACATTTGGAGTTTAGCTTTTACTTAGTGCAAGGGTAGGCAATTAATTTTCTCAAAGGGCTGCATGAGAAGCTGGACTGAACCATTGTCCTCAAATTCCATCACCTCAACTCAGGCTGCTCCAGACAAGGAGCACGTGCTGCACAGGAACAGAAAAATGTTTTCTTTCCTCACCCTCCCATGGCCATCAGCTGACTGAAGGGAGCATGGTGATTGTCTAGAGCCATACCTAACTCTGCTTCTTCTCTTGCCTCCTGCAGCATGCTTATTTATATTTGATTTCTAATTTCCAATTAACCTCACAAAGGTAGAGTATGGCCCAGTGGTCATAAAATGCCCAGGTCTGTTTTAGAGAGTCTTATGCATAATATCAACTATGCTAGAAGTTTTATCCAATGTTCTTTCATTATTATTTAATGTGGATTAAATTTTGGCTTTATTTGTATTACTGTTTTTATTATTACTATTGTTAATATTACTGTTGCTTTGTTTCACTTCTGGAAGGTTTTTGTAAATCAATAATTTAAATACATAGCATGAAATTCTGGATTAATATTTATCAGTCTCATTATTATTAATTTATTTATTTACTGCATTATTTATGCCATGGATGGCATGGTGGCTCATTGGTTAAAACGCTAGGTTTGTCAGCCGGAAAACTGGCAGCCTAGGTTCGAGACCTAAACTCCACGCAACAGGGTGAGCTCCCATTCTTGCCATAGCTCTGCCCACCTACCAGTTTGAAAGCATGCAAATGTGAATAGATAAATAGGTACAATTCAGCGGGAAGGATGCTGGCCACAGGACGGCGGAAATGTTTTTGACAGCGTTGGCTCAATGGCCTTGAAATGGATATGAGCATTGCCCCCTATTGGCAATAATGCTTAGTGGAATAAAATCCGCAGGGACTCCTTTTCATTTACCTTATTATTTATGCCAATGTTTAATCTTGAAAACTCATTTTGTGTCTCATTATGTAACAATATAAAATAATTAAAAGCAGTTAATAAAAGTTATGAGCATCCACAAAACCATTGTTCATGGCAGTGCCTGACACAGTCTTCGTGTTTCTATTATTCAACAAGAGAATAATTATAATTGGGCCTGTCAAATTTCTTTCAGACAAGCACCTTAAACATTTATAATTTTTGAATGAAAATGATATTATTTAATTGTCCCCCAGAGTTATCAGGATGGGACACATTCTACTCTTTATACATTGACCTGAGGATTAAAAAAGATTTTTAAGTATTTTACTTTTAAATGATGCATAACTTCTAAGAAGTTTAATTAAATTTATCAGAGAAGGTGGACAGCCTGAGTGAAAAACAGTTGATATCATTTTTTCATTTTTATATTTACCTTAGCCCAGGTATTCCAAAAAGAATTATCAAGTTAATTTCTTAGGATTTCTAAATAAATGTAGCATTTTACCACATTTTCCAATTTCTTTCCCCATTTTATTGCTTCTTGCCTTCTATTTTTTCCTTTTCTATCAAACAAAATATAAAAGCAGGACTAAAAAAAAACCAAGAAAGTTAAAAAGGCAAACAAAGGAGTAACAAAAGCAAAAGACATGAAAAAAGAAAAAGAAATGTGGTAATATATTCTACTATAATTTCAAACTTATATTATTAATTTCTTCCAACAATCAATTCTCTAGCAACAAATTCACCCTCCCCAAGCCAACAGCATCCATGGAACTGGGAAGTGAAAATTCTTGCTGATACACTATGAAATACTAAAAAACAAAAAAAAAAAAAACTTAACTAATACTGCTAAAATAGTTTGAAAATTGCAACCAGGCAGCCCTATGTATTGGAACTCTGAAAATTTCCCACTATTTCTTTAACATTTAGTTTGTTTTCTTTTTTAAGGTAAGAACTTACCAGGACCCACTGACTGCAAAGTATTTTCCATATTCTGATCTTTTACAGGACTCTGAACTTGTGACTGAGTTTGAACATTTGGATTCGGTAGTTCAATGTTTGTCTCATTACTGTGTAATTGTTGCTTCAGTAGTGATACCTACATGAGTAAAATGATGTTACATTCAACAGTCAGGCATATGTTAATATTTACTGGGATTTTTTTTAACCTAGTAACACAAATTTCTATATTGTAACACAAATTTCTGCATTGTCCTTAATAGTATGCAACTGAAACAGCAATAGACAAAAGCCATAGGAAGACAACTCCAGATAAATGGAATGATCCATGTGGCCTCTGCAAAAGCTTTTTCATGGACTTTCCTTTTGATACATACTATGTTTCAAAATACTGAAAAACACACAGTATGCATGTAAATACATCAAATGAGTTTTTTCTCCCAAATGCTTACTCTGATGAGGTTGGCAGTGGATCAGCGAAAGCTAAGACTGTCGATTTTTAGGATTTGTAAATAGTTGCTTTTATTGTTTTAACAATAAACAGCTGTTTTATACTCATCCCAGAGTTCAATTTTAAACCATTACACAAATATGCCTGGGATTCGCATTTTTATAGTTATTAGGGATATATATATATATATAGGTCTTTGGTTATTCAGGTTTTCTCCCGCGTAAAATTGAAGTGTCTTGGCAACGTTTCGACGAAGTCCTATTCTTCATCTTCAGGCTGGTGTTTTCAGCTTCATGCTTCGAGGAGCAATGTGACAAGACACTTCCAATTTGACGTGGGAAAAAACCCGAATAACCAAAGACATACACACACACACACACACACACACACACACACACATATACATACATACACACACACATACATACATACACACACACTGGTAAAAATCACACAAAGTTGTTAGGGAAGTTATTACATAGTCACTTCATTAATGTTTCTTGTCAGAAATTCTCAATGAAGGTTGCAAATGATGACCATGTGACCATAGGATGCTGCAACCATCATAAAAGCAAGCCAGTTGCCAAAATTGGGAACAAATGACCATGGGGATGCTGCAAAATACAAAGATTGGCAAGCAACAGGGAGAAAGCAGAACTATTTAACTCATTTTTTGCATCTGTCTTTACACAAAGGGAAAAAACAGACCAACCTATCAAAAATAGTGCCATAAAAAACAAAACAGAAACACAAGTTAAGATAGGCAAGAAAATGGTTAGGGAGCACCTGTCCAGCCTAGATGAGTTCAAATCGCCAGGACCAGATGGATTACACCCCAGAGTTCTCAAGGAACTGGCAGATGTGATATCGGAGCCACTGAACTATATTTTTCAAAGATCCTGGAACACAGGGGAACTACCAGAGGACTGGAAAAGAGCTGATGTAGTTCCCATCCTCAAAAAAGGAAAAAAATGGATCCAGGAAATTACAGACCTATCAGCCTGACCTCAATACCTGGGAAGATCCTGGAAAAGATAATCAAACAACGAATCAACGAACACCTAGAGGCAAACAAAGTCATTACTAAAAGCCAACATGGGTTTGTCAAAAATAGATCATGCCAGACAAATCTTATTGCATTCTTTGACCAAGTGACAAAATTAGTGGATCAGAGGAATGCTGTGGACATAATTTACTTGGACTTCAGTAAGGCATTTGATAAAGTAGATCACAACCTACTACTTGACAAGATAGAAAAATGTGGGGTAGACAGAACCACCACCAGATGGATCCGTAGCTGGCTGACCGGCCGTACTCAGCGAGTGGTCCTCAATGGAACTGCATCTATATGGAGGGAAGTGTGTAGTGGGGTGCCCCAGGGCTCTGTTCTGGGCCCAGTACTCTTCAACATCTTCATCAACGATTTGGATGAAGGGATAGATGGGGAACTCATCAAATTTGCAGATGACACCAAGCTGGCAGGAATAGCCAACACTCCAGAAGACAGGCTTCAGATACAGAAGGATCTGGACAGACTTGAACACTGGGCACTAACTAACAAAATGAAATTCAATGGTGAAAAAAGCAAGGTTCTACATTTAGGCAAGAAAAACCAAATGCACAAGTACAGCATAGGTGGCACCATGCTCAATAGTAGTAACTGTGAGAGGGACCTCGGAGTCCTAGTAGACAATCACTTAAATATGAGCCAGCAGTGTGCTGCAGCTGCCAAAAAGGCCAACACAGTGCTAGGCTGCATTAACAGAGGGATAGAATCAAGATCACGTGAAGTATTAATACCACTCTTCAATGCCTTGGTAAGGCCACACTTGGAATACTGCATCCAGTTTTGGTCACCACGATGTAAAAAAGATGTTGAGACTCTAGAAAGAGTACAGAGAAGAGCAACAAAGATGATTAGGGGACTGGAGGCTAAAACATATAAGGAACGGTTGCTAGAATTGGGTATGTCTAGTTTAACGAAGAGAAGGACAAGGGGGGACATGATAGCAGTATTCCAATATCTCAGGGGCTGCCATAAAGAAGAGGGAATTAAGCTATTTTCCAAAGCACCTGAAGGCAGGACAAGAAGCAACGGGTGGAAACTAATCAAGGAGAGAAGCAACCTAGAACTAAGGAGAAACTTCCTGACAGTGAGAACAATTAATCAGTGGAACAGCTTGCCTCCAGAAGCAGTAAATGCTCCAACACTGGAAGTTTTTAAGAAGAGACTGGACAGCCATTTGTCCGAAATGGTGTAGGGTTTCCTGCCCGAGCAGGGGGTTGGACTAGATGACCTCCAAGGTCCCCTCCAACTTTACTATTATTATTATTATTATTATTATTATTAATTCTTCTTGTTCTGTACTATTGCAATTGAATGCTCATTAAACAAGGATTCTCTATAAATACCTTAATGATAAGCACAGTATTTAGTAGAAAAAATAGTTGATATTCTTCAAAGATGTTTTGGAAACTTCTCTTTTAAATCAAGCAATTACCTGTGTCTGCAGGACGCTGATAATTTGGTCCTTTTCCTCTAAGGATGCAGCAAATTCTTCTTGAAGATGCCTCTTTGTTTTTTGATCCATTTTAACTTCCTATCATAATATTTTGACAGAAATATAAAACAACTGAATTAGCTTTAAAGTATGTGTTTGTGTGCAAATTCTATAGAAATCTAAATTTAGCTATTTAGCTAAAATTAGCTAATTTTCATGCTACCAATATTCCTTTTTTTAACTCATATATCTTTAAATCCTTTTGTACAAAAGTTAAGGTATAGTACTATTCTTTTAATTTTTCCTCTTTCCTGTGTGGATCTTATTCTATTTTATATCACACCATCTTAACAACCTTATCATATTAAGGAAGTAAGAGACTACATTCTAACACTGAATAGTAACACTTTCAGTCTTTCTCAGTATATTATTATATTTCAAAGAGTAAAAAGAGAGAAAAGTCAATCAGAGCTTTATCAAGAAGAAAAGCTTACAGAAGGGTACAAGTTTAAAAAAGGCAATCACCCCAAGTTTTTTAATGGAAACATAAAGAAAATATAGTTAGAAAAACAGGAAAAAATACAGAATGAATCTGTAGTGTCTGTAATCCTAGGTTCTTCAGAACCTTATCAGAAGTATCCTAATTAGAAGACTGGTAAGAATAGACAAATTATGTAGTGCATGTTTCAGAGTACAAATTGAAAATTCACATAAAATTATTAGTGCCCTGATCTATCCCAATTTTCATAACGAGCAAAACTTATAGTTAACCATACCAACAAAAACATTGTTTCAAATAAAATACAACAGTTTAATAATAATAATTGGGAAGACAGCAATAGACAGTAATGCCACATCTACAAAGAAGCTGAAGAAGCAGTAGACCACCTACTTAGCTGCTATAAAAAATTTGCACAAACTGATTACAAACAATGACATGACAATGATGCATTGGAATATTTCAAGGAAAACCAATTGCCTGCAAGCAAGAACTGATGGAACCACAACATAGAGAAAGTAATCTAATGTGCTCTGTGACTTTAGAATTCAAACACACAGCTACCTATCACACAACATCCCATACTTAATCATTGTTAATAAGACAGACAAAACAGTCTGAATAGTGGACATTTCAGGATCTTGAGACAGCAGAACAAAAGGGAAAGAATTGGAGAAAAATTACAAAATATGCAGATAGAATGACTGTGGCAAAAGAAAGCAAATAGTAATAGGCACTTTGGGTGCAGTTCCAAAACATTTGGAGCACAACTTGAATATCATCAGCCTTGATAAAAATCATCTGTCAACTGTAAAAGGCAGGCTTACTTGGAACAGCTTACATCCTGCAACAATACCTTTAATGTATTAAATAACATCTGTCCATCTCAGGTCCTTAATAGGTGGAGAAAATGCCAGATCCAGTCTAAATATTTGGCTGTTAGGAACTATAATATATGAAATGATTTCCTGGGTTTGTGTCAAATTATGAGACAATTGTAACACCAAAGTTAAGGAGAGAATAAAGCATGTCATTTCAAGAAACCTGAACTAATCTCTCTATGTCACAGGAAGGTAGGTAAATAGATAGACATCACAATATGTGAAACATGCAGTGATTTCTTAAACAATGATGATATATTAAAGAAAATTGGTTAAAAAATAAATATGGTGTTAGCAAATACAGAATTGAGGAACTAGAAAGTAAGCTTAGCTAATGAATAGCGATCAGCCTTCCATTATCCAATCATCTTCCATTGTACAAACTATTTTAAATCTAGTCTCATCACTATAATATCCTGGCTATATATTATCCCACATTCATATTGTAAACTTCAAACAAATCTTCTGATCCAATTTTGAGAATACCAAGGGTAAAAATGTGTTACATTTTATTGTGCTTTCAGTATTATTCTATTAATCCACCATAGATCCTTAGAAGCAAATTAATTACACAGTCATCCTATGAGGATATTATTTAAAACTAAGTATGTATCTAGAATGTCTTCTGTAATAATTCTTAATTTTATCTGCTTTTATTTGTTTTGTTATTTTATAATTGATGATGTTAATGTTTTTAATGTTTTACACTGAAATGCTTTAGACATGAGATGGGCAGCAAATAAATGTCATAATAAATAAATATATAAATACGGGATAAGCATTGTATTAGGACATTCATTCTGCAACTGTTCAAAGTTATGACAGCACAAAACAAGGGGAGATTATAATTGGAAATAAAGATGTGACCATTGCAGCATCTCCACAGTTATGTGATTATAATCCTGATAATCAGGTGCCTGAATTGGGAATATGATACTGCAGCAAGTTGCAGTCATTTGTGACTTTCCCTGACGGCTTCCCACAAACAAAGTCAACGAGGAAGCCAGCAGACAAACTCACAAGTTGATTTTGCTGCTTATTTTCCTGATGAGTCCCATTATGGAGTACAAGATCAAGAGATCACAGCATTCCCCCCATCTGCCCCTATTCCATAATGATCCACGCTGCTCTGCTGGCCCACTTGCCCCCATTCTATTACACCAGCTCTCACCCCATAGTACTTGCCCAGAGCCTGCAACAGGCTAGAGCAGGGATCCCCAACCCCCGGTCCAGGAGCTGGTACCGGGCTGCAGCATGCCAGCAACCAGGCCATACAAACAAGCAAAGCCCCATAAAACCACGCTCCTCCAGTCCATGGAAAAACCTCTCCATGTAACCAGTCCCTAGTTTCCAAAAGGTTGGAGACCTCTGGGCTAGAGAATGGGAGAATATGAATTTTAATCCTGCCTTAGACATAGAGAGGCAAAGGCAACCCACTTCTGAAAATCCTTGCCAAGAAAATTGTGGGGTTAGGATTAGGCCATATAATGGCTTTAAGAAGAATGTGAATACAGCCTATTAATTCTCAGATTTTTTTCTGGAAAAATCTGCATGTATAACTAGAATTAAGAGTTACCTCCCACAGTTCACCAATTCTGCAAAATGCCTTATCCTGTCTGGCACAATACTCTCTGAAACAAAGTAAGTTGATATTTTAAAAACCTAACACTTATTTCTGCTGTTTACTGAAGCCCCCCATCCCACAACATATGAAACAGAATGACTGAGCAAAAAGTTATCACTTTTTTCTGTGAAAATCTTTCACACGATTTAGGAAAATTAAACAGATTTGCAGATCATACTCTAACTTCAGATATATTTTTTTTACTAGAGAACAACTCATTGTAAAATTCAAATCAATAAGTGAAATTATATATTTTCTCACCCAGGCACCCTCCATCCCCACAGAGAGGGAGAGGGCAGGAGAGAGAGAGGACAAACATAAGACCATTTAGAATATTCTATTAAAATATTCCGCTTCCTTAAAACTAGACCTTGATTATCTATCTGTCTTACAGAATAAAAAATGGGATTTTAAAACAAGTTTATTGTTTTATCATGTTTTACCTGAAATGTAAAAAAATGTTACTTGTTAGTCTATACTTAATATTAGGATATTTTTAAAAAACATTTAAAACATTTAAAACATTCTGAGATAAATCAGTGGAAGCAAAAAGTCAGCAATATTTTGCAGCTTGACTGAAAAACGTAGGCCCAGGAAAGAAACAATATAGGTAGTCCTAAACTTATGACCGCAACTGAGATAAGAATTTCCATTGCTAAGCAAGGTGGTGATTGAGTCATTCTCAATTTTACAATTTTTTTGACACAGCTATTAAGCACTTAACACAGCAATTGTTGAGTGAATCAGGAAGTCCTTAAGCAAATCCAGGTTCCCTCATTGACTCAGATTGTTGAAAGCTGGCTGGAAGGTCTCAAATAATAATCATATGATCCCTGAATGTTGCAACATTTGTATAAATACATGCTGGCTGCCAAGCACCCAAGTTTTAACCATGGGAGTTGTTAAGTGTGAGTCTGATTGTAACTTTTTTCACTGCTGATGTAATTTTGAACGGACGCTAAACATATGGATGTAAGTTAAGGCTACCTGTAGTAAATAAAGGATTCATTTCAATCTAAGCTATTTGAAATACTATTAGTTTCTCAACATGTACAGTATTTAACTGACTCTCCCTCATTCCCCTCATAACCCCTTCCTACCTTCAGCAAGCAGCAGCAGGGATGAAAATTTATTTTTGTTTCATTGGTTAATACATTATCCAATTGTCTATGTTTGCATATTTTTGAAAGGAATTATATAATCAAACCCATGGTTCTTTTTACAACACAAACACTTTGATCAATCTTCTTTGTATCATTAGATATACCAGTATTTAAATCTTGTAAAAAAAAAAAATTCCACTTGCTTTCTAAAAGCACAGCTTTCATGTGGCTTTTTAAAAATAATCTCATTCTGATTTATAGAAGATTTAATGAATTGTTTAACAATAGTGATTCAAATAGAAAAATAACCTCATCTAGAGATACCAGTTTTTATGTTTTACTAAATAATTGATTATGAAATGAATATGGAAACAATACTGGATATTATTGGGTCCTTTGTTTCTGTTATGATGTTTCTCTTATCAATCATTGCATAAAAATATATAGCACATTTTTCACAATACTGTAACATGTCATATAGGTGCTTAACAATAATTTTTAAAATAAACAGTTTTCAGTTCAGCATACTATCATAGTAAAGATTAATCCATTACTTCTCATGATGAATGACTATAACCATCCAGCAATACAAAAGTAAAGAAAATATCAACAAACTGAATACTCATTATTTCCTTTGATCCTAGTAAAATAATCATTGAGCTTTATTTATTGGAGTCAATCTTGCATAAGAAACCTCTCCAAAAAAGTGCAAACAAAAAATAGAATTATGACTTATAAAACAGAATTTCACTAACTAGAATTCTACTTGCCCTTATTACTCAGAGATTTCTACTGAACAATATTCCTGACCAACAACTTTATGCTAAGAGTTCTAATTATGCAAGAGATATATAAAATAAGTCAATTGCTAAATATATTATTCTGAATTATTTTTGGCACAGTTTATTTTTTAAAATAAATATAGGGGTGGGAAATGTGAGAATATCCATCCCAAGAGAATAAAAGATGAGAGAAAATCTAAACTTGATCTATCAATAAAATCTAACTTATTAATCTAGATGATACATAGAGATCACCAAAGCCTGGGAAAATCAAAACATGAGCAATGAAATAGAAATGGAAAGTTTCTTTTATTTGCGCTTTTAAAAGAGAAGTAGAAGAGGCTCCATTTTCTTATCCTTTTTCAAGAGGGAAACAAGAGTATCTTTTGCATAGCTAAATGTCTATGGAGATTCTTAATCATCCAGGTCATGGTGGTCCCAAAAGTGCTTTTTCAAGAGGCAACTGGACTTTCTTGTTTTTCTTTGAAGATGTTTTGCTTCTCATCCAAGAAGCTTCTTCAAACAAAAACAAGAAAGTCCAGTTGCCTCTTAAAAAGCACCTTTGGGACAACCATTACCTAGATGACTGAGAATCTTCATAGACAAGAGCATCTTTTCCTCAGCTATCTCAAAGCCAAGCTAAGTATGTCCCAACCCAGACCAAAATTGAAGCATTGATAAATACAAAACTGGAGAAACAGAATTTATTTATTTGAATTTATTATAGCTACAGATCTAAAATAAAAGCTATTTCAGAAGTAGATTTTGATTTTTTTTATAGAAAATGATTTGAATTGTGGTATCTTTTTGCCTTTCTTATATCTTTATCTCCTTTTTCATTGCTCTTTAGATATAATTATTGGTTCCTTTCTCTTTATGGTTTTCAAATCCCGTATAATTTCTTAACCTTGACATACATAATACCTTATTTATTTATTATTTATTTATACTTTATATTTGAATTTATTTATATCATACACACACACACACACACACTCATTTATTTGTGAATCAGACAGAAAATTTAGCCTTTATCACATGCTAACTATCAAATGTGAAGGCAGGAGGTTTGCCATTTTACTGAATAAGCTAACTAAAGAAGGATTTTTCTCCCAAAATAAAGTGGAAGTGTGAAAAGATGCAATGGGGGTCATGGAAATGGGCTTAGAGATTTCTACTTGAGGAAGCCAAGATACCATCCTAGCAAAACCCAGACATGTGCAAACTTATCTGTGTCCCATATAGAAGGCACAATGTAAGACATATGACCACAATTGAGCCCAAAATTTCTGTTATTAAATGAAACAGTTGTTAAATGAATTTTGTCCCATTTTACAACCTTTCTTGCTAGAATTTTTAAGTGAATAACTGTAGTTGTTAATAACACACTTGTTAAATGAATCTGGTTTTCCCACTGACTTTGCTTGTCGGAAAATCACAAAACATGCTCACGTGACTCCAGGACACTGCAACCATCTTAAATATGAATCAAATGCCAAGCATGTGAATTTTGATCACATGATCACAGGGATGCTGCATCAGTCGTAAGTGTAAAAACCAGTCATAAGTTATCTTTTCAGTGCCGTTGTAACTTCAAATGGTCACTAAATGAACTACTGTAAGTCAAGGACTACCTGTAATCATTATCCAATTTTCCTCCTTCTCGAAAAAAGAGATTAATTCCCATGGTCTTAAGGATGAAAACAGAGAGCATTGTTTGTTTAATATAGCAACACTATATTTTCTAACCATCTATTTAGTGGTCTATATAACTGCACCAATTCTGCTATAGAATAAAGGAGAAAATTTTCTTTTGTTAGATCTCAGATTGAAGAATTCTTACAGGCAGTCCTCAACTTTTTATCACAGTTGGAACTGGAATTTCAGTCACTAAACAATACAGTCAACTCATCATATGACCATATCATATGATCATTTTTACAAATTTGTTAAGTGATTCACCAGCTTTCCCCATTGACTTATCCTTGTTGGTGTAATCTAGGAAACCTTAAGTATCTAATTCACCAAGTTATTTTAATACACATTTTTGACTGTCAGCCTTTTCCCCTCCAGCACCCTAAACTTTGTTCCATTCTATGTAATAGATACAATAAGCACTCCTTGCGAAGACTGTCCACTTTTCAATACAACTCTTATGCTTCAATTTCTACATCAGAATGTGGGCCAATTGTCAGGTAAGGAAAATAAAAATCCTGTTTATTCAGGGAGTATTTTGAAGATGTCTGCACTAAGAATTCTTTAGAAGAGAACCGAAATAGAGATTCTTTTAAGGGATTTTGAACAAATGATTCCATTGAAGAAACCCAAAATTGAAGCTACTGTGGAAAAGATCATTACTAAGCTGCAAATAATAAAATAACTGAAATTTATGCTGTTTTTCTCCGAATATCATAGAATTAATGTATTTTCATACATACTAAATATTTAATTATCAACATCAATTTACTTCTGAAATTAAATATTATAATGATTAAGAACTACATATATGTTCATATGGCTGAGAGATATATATTTAGACTAAATAATGTAAATTCTGGAATTTTTAAGTATAAAAATTACATATCCTAGGACATTATAACTAAATATAAAGCTTTATACTACATACCACTGGAGAAGATGGTTCACTTTCATTATTGCTAGAATTTTGTTTATATATTATCTAGAAAAAAGGGAAAATATATATCAGAGATCATATTCCCCTAAAATATAATAAGGTGTTCTTTTATTTTATTTTTAAAATAGAAATATTTTTATAGAAAATATAATACGAAACAATTATAAGAAAAAGCATTGCAATTTCTTTTGGTTGCAGTTATTGTTAGTATTTGTACTATGCAGCTACTAATGAAGCAAACTGAAAGGATGATATTTAGTGGAAAGGTTAATCAGCCTCCTATAATATGCAGAAATATGGGACAGATTATATGTAACATAATTAAATACAATTAAATTGAAAATGCTAATGAATACAACTAAACATATAATATACATATTATGTATCATTTATTATCAAAACTGCACTCCATAAAGAGAAGGACTAAAAAATACAGGTCTAATTCTCTATTAAGAGGATATATTTCCTGATTAAGTATTTTACCCCACAAGAAAACCAGACATGCAAATTCTCTATCCCTGGTTTCAGGAAAAAATCTAAACTGAACCAAGAATGCACAATTGTTTGCAATAGTCAATACTTCTATTACTGTTATAATACCCATGTTTGCAGCACTTACATTCAAGATTTCAAATGTATATTAATCAAGTATTACTTCTCAGATCCAAATGAATTTTAGAAAGACTTTTAGAAATAATCCATAATTAAATATAAACATCTTTTAATTGCAAAAATGTATAATCTATACATTATAAATATACACTATACACTATACAAAGAAACACAAGAAAGTACATTTTCTAATTCTGAATAAATTCCTTTTATTTTTTCTCTCATTCCTTGTCTTTTTTTAATTCTTAAATCTCCATCTAATTAGATCCACAAAACATTACTTTCTGTAAAACTGGTCTACAATGAAGAGCTATTATTCTTCAATAACTTCAACTATGTCAAATAGCCCTCTTTCAAGAACTTACTTTTTACAGGAAAAAGTAGTAGAAAAAAGAATATTTGATTTGATTTTAAAAAATCTAAACAATCATATATAATCAACTATATTACAAAAATATTTTGTATGAATGTTTATAATATGTGTAGGTCAGTGATGTTAATTTTCATTGCAATGTTAAAGTAAAAAGCGGGAGGGGAACTAATGGCCTGCATGTGGTTCCCAATACTCTACCCACAGCCTCTCAACATCCTGAATTCACACCATGTAATATTTAAATATGAAATAGCTAGATTTGGGCATCAACATTTCAAATCATTTATTTTAGGTTAGATATGATTTTAAGAGTAGAAATTGGAATAGTTCATCTGATTCTTTGCTCATATTCTTATACACCCTTCCAAAGGCAGTAAACACTATAACAAAAGAGGCTGACAAATTTAAAAACACTCCTTTCAAAGAAATCATATCATCAAATGACCTCCTTAGATTTTTCAGAAAGTTGAGATGCTGAGTTACAACCCCCAGTTTCTCAAAAGTTGCTAATTGCTAATTAAGGTGAGTTAACTGAGTGTAAGCATTCTGTAGTACAGGTTAGCAGCATAGCATTTAGTATGCTTTAAAAATATAAACAAAAAGCAGAATTATTTTTGGCTTCTAGTATTATAGTATCCTCTTGGATCTGCCAAGCCATCACTGTGAAAGGTAGAGCAGTGGGGACTCACCACACACTCACTCTTTGGCTTAGGTCGTTTGGTAGGATCCAAAGCAAAAACAGTATATTCAGAAAGAAAAGCAGGCTCTGTTATCATCCCAGCTAGTAGCTGTGACATTCAATGAATAAAGCAATAAAGTCAAAAATAACAATAAAGTAAAAGGAGACAACAATAAAGCACATTGTACTTTTATCACAATAGATTTTCACATTCATAAAACTGCAAATATATATAGGAATTCATACATAACTACAATACACAGATTTTTTTAACAGATATTCAAATCAACCAAGATTTATATATAAGCATAAATGCATAAGACAGCAGAAAAAATTGTAATTGTGAACACTGTAAGAATTCATGAAACAGTAACAGTTCTAGGATCTATTTCAAGTAGTCTTCGACTTATGACTGCAATTGGGACCAGAATTTTGCTCACTAAGCAACAAGTTAAGCAAGTCATCATATTCCAGATCCAAGTTTAGAACCATTTTTACCATAGTCATTAAGAAAATCATACGGTTGTTAAACAAATTTGGTTTCCCCAATTGACTTTGCTTGTTGGAAGCTGGCTAGGAAGGTTGCAAATTATCATCACATGATTACAAGAGGCAGCAACAATCATAAATGTGAACCATTTATGTCGTTGAATTGAGATCATGTGACTACAGAGGTTATGTGATGGTTCTTAAGTTTGAGAATAGGTTGTGATTTTTTTCTCAGCCCATCATAACTTTGAACCATCATTAAACGAACAATTATAAATCAAAAACTACCTTTAATGTATAGCCCAGTTTTATACCCAGAGTATTCTAAATACTTAATATTAACAAAATTCCCTGCACATCAGAATGTGGGGAAAAGATTTAAAAGAGTAATTGAACATCTAAGCATATGGAAATATTAAAATCAGTCATGTCAGATAGATGTTGGAAATGTAGACATAAGTCAGGCGCTTATTATCATATTTGGTGGACTTGTGACAAAGTAAAGAGTTATTGGGAAAAGATATATGCCTGGCTAAAAAAGATGTTGGGAGAACATGTAGATTTTAAACCTGATTTTTTTTTTTATTAGATACAATGCCAGAAAAGACTAACAAACAAAGCATATATTTGATTTTTCATGTCACAACAGTGGCAAGAATTATATTTGCGCAATACTGGGAAAATGAAGGAATACTATCAGATGAAGAAATACTAGAATGCGCAGAGATGGATAGACTGACTATGAGACTGAAAGAAAAAGAAGAAACGGAATATTATCAAACCTGAGACTTATTTTATCGATGGCTAGAGGAAACAATAAAGGATTAGGAATTAAATATGTATTAGCGAATGTAAACTCAGACAGCACATTTGTTAAAAAACTATTACTGAATGTATTGAAAAAAAACAATAAAAACTTTCACAAAAAAATAAAATAAAATCAGTCATATGGAGAGGACCAGCTAAAGAGATATACCGTATTTTCCAGCTTATAAGACGAATGGATGTATAAGATGACCCCCAACTTTTCTAGTTAAAATATAGAGTTTGGGCTATACTTGCCGTATAAGACTATCCCTCTTCCAACGCACACCAAATAAAAATTAAAAAACATCAGATTTGATTTCAATATGGTACTGTAATTTTAATTCAAATGCTTATGACATGCACACACACACACACACACACACACACACACCTCCTTTCCCTCCTCCCTCTCCCTCCAATCCTTTCCCCCCCACACCCCAATTTGCAGCTCGGAAAGTGCAAAGCAGCCGGGAGACAGATTGAGTTTTGTCGCTAATTTCCCAGGGTGAACATTTACCAGCCTGTGACTTCAAGTTAGCAAAAAGCAGCTGCAAACTACACGCCCGCTAGAAGCGAGTCGCAGGGACAGGGGCAGCCGATGATGCCTCCACGACCTTTGTGAGCAGCAGCTGTGGGGCAAGATGAAGGAGGAAGAGAAGGAGCGAGCGGGTCCCTTCCGTTGCCCCCCAGTAGCGAGCTACGGCTTGGAGCAAGTGGGCTGCGCACTGGGATCTCCAGAGACGGGATCTCCTCCTCTCGGTCTTCCACCCCGCAAATCCTCCACAGCCTCCCCAAGCTGACCTCCCCCCTCCCCGATCTTGGTGGGATGTACTCGCAAAGCTCCCCCCGTTGAGACGGATTGGGATACGGAGCTGGGAGCGAGCGGAAAGCCTGCCTGTTTGTGAGCCGGGAAACTTCAGGGCTCTTCCTTGTCAATTGCACACACACCTTGATGAAAATTGCCCTGCCTGCAAAAGAACTTCTCAGCAATTTTTTAAAGCAACACTACCAAGAATGAAATTGGCAACAGCCAGAATGTTTAGGGAAGAAGGAAAGTAAGAAAGGCATTCGCCCTTCGAAAACTTGCATTTTCACAAATAAGTTGCCCCCTTTTCAGGTAATGGGGGGGGAGTAAATGCTTTCCTTTTAATTTCGGCTTTCCTTTTAACTTGTTATTAAAACTCAGTGTACTACAGTACTTATTGATGGGAGACAGATTGACCAGCCAGGATCTGTCATAAATAACACCACAAATGCACCCTGCAAGTTTATTTAGGCGGGGGGGGGGGGACCGCTGGCATAAGCTCAGTAGAAGTCAATGGGTGAAAGGACCATGTACCTGTTTTCTGTCCCCCTCCATTCCTGCTTCGTAAATCCGAGAGGAATTTAGCTGACACCCTCCCTCTCCTTCCAGACCCATAGCCTCCTCCTCCTTCCTCCTTACTATGTGGGGCGCGAGGAAAGAGGGAACGCCTTGCGTCACTGCCGCCTGTCTGCTCACCTCCGCAGCCACTGGTCGCATGCTCAGTAGGAGCCGCCACTGCACTACCGCCCGCCTCCTTTCAAGCTCCGCCTCCCCCAAGCTACTCCCACCGGGGGTGAGAGGTCAATGCCGAAAAGGCCCTGGATGATGGCGGAAGAAGCGCTGAGAAGTGCCTTGAATGGATGCAGATGCTTAGGTTTGTTTTCATTATAAAAAAAACCACCCTACAACTCTTCCCCCCCCCTTCCCCATTACATGGGCCATCCCTTTCTACTTCCTTCAAATGAATTAATCATGGGATGCCACTATCAATCCGCAGTTCTGGAGGGGTGGGCAAGGGATTGGGATGGTGAAGGAGAGGGAAGAAGAGAGAAGGAGGCGGTATGCTAAACCACATGTGTAAAGGAATAAAATAGAATACCCGTATTTTCCAGTGTATAAGACAACTGGGTGTATAAGACAACCCCCGACTTTTGAGAAGATTTTCATGGTTTAGAAAGTTATCTTATACGCCAGAAAATATGGTCTTCATGCTTTTCTAAAAAAGCAGAGAATGGTATCCAAATACCATATCCAAGGAAGATCATTTTACAACTTAGTAAAAAAATTTCCTATATCAGTGGTCCCCAACCTTTGGGGCACCAGGGACCGGTTCCATGGAGAGAGGTTTTTCCACAGATGGGAGGGGATGTGGTTTTGTGTGCTTCCTGTATCTCAAAGATGGATTTCATTTGTTTGTGCGGACCTGTTTCTGGCATGCCACAGCCCGATGCCAATCCACGGCCTGGGGGTTGGGAATCCCTGCATTAGACAAAAGAGAGCCTTACAGAACAACAAAGATCACTGACACATCAATAGTAGGCAAATGCTCACAGCTTCTGGATACAGCCTGGTAATGAACCACTGCACAACAGTTCTGGCCAACTTTCACATAGTGGCCCAAAAGAATACTCCAATCAATGAGAATAAAGCTGCCAAAAGATTAAATATACTAAGTAGAGTTCATACAATTGAGCCTATAAGATTGTCAACCAGCAAGATTGTCAACTAAGCAATTCTTAGTTGCTTAACTCAATCCAACTGAAATGGGTCTAGGTCAGTGATGGCGAACCTTTTAGAGATCGAGTGCCCCAAAATCAGCCACTCCCCATCCTGCCTGCTCCGCCCCTCCCCCTGCTCTGCCCTCACACCCCGCCCACCTGCAGGGCCACTCACCGCCTCCACGGCCCACTGCAGATCGCCCAGGCAGCCCAGCAGCACCATGGCTATGTCCTCCACCCGCGCCCTGCAGCATCAACTGCACGTGATGGGGCACAAGGGTGGAGTCTTGTCCCTGCTGCTTGGCTGCACCGCTCACACAGGCAATGCCTGGAGATGACTCTCCTCCAGGGGGGCTGCTGGTGAGGAGGGGGCCACAAGGGGAGGGGGGCTGGGGTGATGGTGCACGTGCTCACAGAGAGGGCTCTAAGTGCCGCCTCTGGCACATGTGCCATAGGTTTGCCACCACTGGTCTAGTGATGATTAATCACCAGCCACCACTCAGCAAGACTAATTTAATCATTCAGCCTATAAGGTCAAGGATCAATTAAGGAGCAACCCTTATAACTTCAAATATACTGTTCACATCTTACATTTGCAGTTAAAATGAATCTAAAACAACAAAGTAGTTACCAATACAGTATTTAATTGCAACTGTCACAATATTGAAGCTCAAATAAAGATAGATTTGAACATCCTTAGTACTCCCCCAAATTTTATTTTATTTTATTGGTTAAATTTATTTGCTGCCTATCGCTATGAAGCTACTCTAGTCAGCTTACCACAATAGAAAGGAAGAAAAACAATAGTAAGACAATAGAACAATAAAATTAATAAAACAACAGAATAAAATAAATAATAAAAAAGAAAACAATGAAATATATCAATTTAATAACAAAAAAATGGAAAGGTAGAAAGTAGAAAGCAAGGGGGGAGATGGAAACTACCATCAATCCAGCAGCCACTTCCATTGTGGAACTCCTTATTTAGTTCCCAGGTCAAATGGTAGAGCCAGGTCTTCAGACTCCTGTGGAAGGATAGGTGGGTGTAGGGCAGTTCCTATCCAAAGGACAGGTGCAAGAAAGCTCCTCTTCTGGATTCCAATAGTCAGAATTCTTTAATCAATGGGTTCCATAGAAGGCCTTCTATGCTGGCATGATAGGATGTAGGATGAGACAGGTAGCCTAGACCTATGCCATCTTAAAAATCATACCCAACATCTTAAATTCATTCAGAAGCAGACTGATAGCCAGTAAAGTTTGCATAACCAAAGACTACACTCGCTGCTGCTT